AGACTGAAGGAGATTGAGAGCCAGATGCGTTTCGTTTCGTTTCCTTTCCCCGTGGCTCTTGGATCTGGGATAATCTTTTCTGCGTCTGTAGGGACTTCTTTACGGACGCCGTGAAAAGTCAAGTCTTCTCGGCGCGCGCGCTAAATGAAATGTAATTTTGACGTGGAGGCGGGCGGATTATTGCGATGATTAATGTATGCCACGAGGAGATGTATGAGGGTTCACACATGTTTAATCAGTATTCATTAATAACATTCTCGGGAGGAGAAAAATATTAATTTGGGTAATACCGAGTGATTCAGAAAGACAAATGTTATTTTTAGAGGGTTTCTGGGTGGTTTTAGGGTCTGTAAAATGTCAAAACTTAAAGAAGAGCTCTTTATCTTACAAAAAGTGAAAAGAAAATTAGGAAAGTACCAATAGTTTAAAAGATACAGAGTGTTTTGTAAAGAAATCGCACGTTTTATTGCAAAATATCATTTTCAGTTGCTCCCGAGTGTTTCTCGATGGTTTTAGGGTCGGTAAAATGTCAAAACTCAAAGAAGAGCTCTTTATCTTACAAAAATTAAAAAGAAAATAAGAATGGTACTAATAGTCTAAAAGATACAGAGTGTTTTGCACGCCAAATTAATATTTATTGTAAAATGTCATTTTTAGAGTGTTTCTCAATGGTTTTAGGGTCTGTAAGATCTCAAAACATAAAGAAGAAGTCTTTATCTTATAAAAAGTAAAAAGAAAATTAGAAAGGTGCTAGCAGTTTAAGAGATACAGAGTGTTTTGTAGCGCAAATGCACATCTCATTGTAGAAATGTGAAAATTACTAACAAATTCATTAAAATTAATTTTCTAGAATGCTGTGAACACACTATATACAATAATCTACCAAAACTACCATTAATACAAGAGATACAGGGTGTACCAGAAAGAATATTTGCAAAAAAAAAATTAAAAGCCATAAACTAACAAAAAACTTAAATAATTTAAATAATAGCACTATAAATAAACACTATCAGAATACTACAATCAATGTAAAATATACAAGGTGTATCAGATAGAAAATCAAATAAATTTCTACAATAAAATCCAAATTTCCAGCCAAACTCAAATTAAATGTTAACCAAAAATAGATCAATCGATTACAAGCATTCCCATTGTAAGTTCGTGGAAGCGGAAAAAGCCCTGAGGTGAGCAACCCCAAGTCAATAAAATCCCCGAGAGCACTGGAGCCTGAACGACACTTTGCGGTGATGTTACACTGATAAACGTCTGCCCGAGCAACTTCTAATTACCCCGCGCTTACATCACGTAAATCTGAGTTTTCCTTTACTTTAGCATCAGCTGGCCCCAGAGCACGAGAGGCAGGAAAAGCGAATTGAAGAGGGTGAAGCACACTCGCCGCTATTGAGTTTTGCACACGTGGCCAATTTGAATTCGGAAAATCTATCGCAGCTGGATGAAGTAAAGGTGCACAGCGGCGAACTCCGCGGGTCATATTTGTCAAGGGTGGTTCCGCCTGCAAGTGACACGCATTCTCAAACAGCCATTAATCGCAGGCCCACAAGCTCCACGCATAACTGTACGTCATGTGCCGTTTTCATGTCAGGCATTGCATAATGTACTAGTAGGAGGGAAAATTTACTCAAAAAGTCAAAAATGTGAAAATTTTGGTCCCCAAATATGTCTACCGGAAGTTAGGTTAGATTTTTGTTAGTTTTTGATATTTTCCCGCCAAAATATTCGAAAAATTTGGTCCCAAAATGTCCACCGGAAGTCAGGTTAAATTTTTTGGGTTTTTTTGATATTTTCCCGCCAAAATATTCAAAAAATCTTGGTCCCAAAATGTCTACCAGAAGTTAGGTTAGATTTTGATCAGTTTTTGATATTTTCCCGCAAAAATATTCGAAAAATATTGGTCCCAAAATGGCTCCCGGTAGTTAGGTTCGATTTTGATAAGTTTTTCATATTTTCCCGCCAAAATATTTAAAAAATGTTGGTCCCAAAATGTCTACCGGAAGTTAGGTTAAATTTTGATTAGTTTTTGATATTTTCCCGCCAAAATATTCAAAAAATCTTGGTCCCAAAATGTCTACCGGAAGTTAGGTTAGATTTTGATGAGTTTTTGATATTTTCCCGCCAAAGTATTCAAAAAATCTTGGTCCCGAAATGTCCACCGGAAGTTAAGTTAGATTTCTGTGAGGTTTTTCATATGTTTCCACCTAAATATTCGATAAATGTTGGTCCCAAAATGTCTACGGGAAGTTAGGTTAGATTTTGATGAGTTTTTGATATTTTCCCGCCAAAATATTCAAAAAAAAATTGGTCCCAAAATGTCTACCGGAAGTTAGGTTAGATTTTGATGAGTTTTTGATATTTTCCCGCCAAAATATTCAAAAAATCTTGGTCCCAAAATGTTTACCGGATGTTAGGTTCGATTTTGATGGGTTTTTGATATTTTCCCGCCAAAATATTCAAAAAATGTTGGTCCCAAAATGTCCACCGGAAGTTAGGTTAGATTTTTATGGGTTTTTGATATTTTCCCGCCAAAATATTCGAAAAATGTTGGTCCCAAAATGTCTACCGGAAGTTAAGTTAGATTTTAATGCTTTTTGAATATTTTCCCGCCCAAAATATTCGAAAAAATCTAAAAATATCCATAAAACCCATGTCTTGAGATGAGTGACGTTAAAGTAATCCCCCGACGACATTTTACGAGAAATAATTTAATCGTACGAATGGGGGAAAGTAGCGATAACGAAAAAATGCGAACCGTCTGTTTCTTTCCACCATTTCGCGCACGAAATGGAATCTCATCATCCCTTATTATATTTATATCCCCTGCAAGTGTTACGACACCCATCAACTATAGTAGGATACAATTTATAGAATAATTTATCGAAGCTCCTGCTCGAATAATGTTTGTCGATTTGAGTTTAGTTGTGAAAATCACAAAGTCTGCGAGAGGAAACTTAAACGGCTGGTAAAGTGAGAGTCAAAGGATGTTGGAGGGGTTCACCGCAAAGCACTCGGAGAGGGTGGAAATTATACCGTCGCATTCTTGCCCACCCGCAAATAGTTATCTGCTTCTCATCTTTTCGAGGCGCATCTCAAACAAGATGAAGCTTTCCGGAGAGACGAAATGTAATATCGTTTTTCTCCACCACCACCATCGCGCAGCATCGCGCAGCAGCAGCCAGATACAGTACGAGAATTATGAGTATGAAAGCTCGGACGGCCGGAAGTTCGAATCCAGTTTGCAGCGATGAGCAATGTTTATACAGCTCGATGAAAATTGCAAATTTCGCGCTGTACACGCAAACATTGCGTCAGCCATCTAAATTTCATCTCGAATTGGAGACGCCACCCCTCAACACTCGCAAACTCAAAGGAACGGGAGGAAATATTAGATACGTAGATTGTATTTACAATTCTAGCTTCGAATTGCATTCTCAGCAAATATATAAATGTTTTCCGGATAAAAAATTGAATTTTGAATACAGAAAACTGCAATACAAATGTTAATTAACTAAATACAAAGTGTTTTATGAAGAAAATATCAAAAATAAAATCAAAACTTAAAAAATAGCTCTTTATCTTATAAAAAGTGAAAAGAAAATTAAAAAGGTACTAATAGTTTAAAAGATACAGAGTGTTTTGTATGCAAAATGCATATTTTATTGTAAAATGTCATTTTCAGAGGCTCCAGAGTGTTTCTCGATTGTTCTAAGTCGGAAAAATGTCAAAACTTAAAGAAGAACTCTTTATCTTACAAAAACTAAAAAGAAAATTGAAAAGGTACTAATAGTTTAAAAGATACAGAGTGTTTTGTACGCCAAATGCGCATCTAATTGAAAAATGTGTGTTTCTGTTGTTCCCGAGTGTTTCTCGATGGTTTTATGGTCGGCAAAACATCAAAACTTAAAGAAGAACTCTTTATCTTACAACAATTAAAAAGAAAATTGAAAAGGTAGTAATAGTTTAAAAGATACAGAGTGTTTTGTACGCAAAATGCATATTTTATTGTAAAATGTCATTTTCAGTGGCTCCAGAGTGTTTCTCGATTGTTTTAGAGTCGGCAAATTATCAAAACTTAAAGAAGAACTCCTTATCTTACAAAAACTAAAAAGAAAATTGAAAAGGTACTAATAGTTTAAAAGATACAGAGTGTTTTGTACGCAAAATGCATATTTTATTGTAAAATGTCATTTTCGGTTGCTCCCGAGTGTTTGTCGATGGTTTATGGGTGAACAAAATATCAAAATTTAAAGAAGAACTCTTTATCTTACAAAAACTAAAAAGAAAATTAGAAAGGTACTAATAGTTCAAAAGATTCAGAGTGTTTTTTAAGAAAATGCAATTCTCATTCCAGAAATGTGAGAAATACTAATAAATTCACAAAAATTAATTTTTTAGAGTGCTGTGAACAAATACTATCAGAAAATCTACCAAAAGTACCATTAATAAAAGAAATACAGGGTGTACCAGAAAGAATATTTGTAAATAAAAATAATTTTAAGGTATTAACAGCCATTTAATGGCCAAAAACTAACAAAAACCTCAAATAATTCCAAAATAGCGACAGGTACAACCCAAATTATTCCAAATAATGAAAAAGTGTACAAAAACACCTCAGGTAAACCCAAAATTTCCGTCCCCGGGGGAACTCTGCCAAAAATTATAAGCAAAAAACATAAACTCGTTCTGTTTTTGATATCGAACGTTTCTAATTAAAACTTTTCGCCGAAATTACGTGTGGCACCAGGGAGGGAAGTTTCATTATTTAATTATCTAATCAGTGCGCGGCGACACGCGCCTGCGCCTCGTCTTCTCGCACTTCCCCAGCGTATTAAGATTTGAATTTTAAATTTAACTCGCACACAACACGAAATATTTAATATGCGCGATGAGGAAAGCCGAGTAATTAAATAATAAGTACCCGAAATAAGAAAATTACGTTTTCGGCAAAGCAATTAAAAGTTGGGCGGAATTTTCTATGCACTTACTTGCAATAATAAAGTCGGCCATCTTTGTTGACATGCACAGTCCATCCAGGCGCCGGTGCATAGTCAAGCATATGTGCTCTGGCCTCAGCATGCCCGAGACCATTGAAAATACTCGCTGCCTTGCCGACACTGCCGCCTCCCGAGTGCCCGGTGGCGGCCAACGTCGGCACAGCCGCCTGCGCCGCCTGTGCTTGTAAGAGCATTACGCACACGCCGCTTCACACGCTGAAAATGAAAATCTAATTTTAGTCTTGTACACATGTTAATAATTATGTCGCCAAAGACTAAAAGCAGGCTTTGTGAAGCGGATGGAAATCGGAAAAGGGAAGGCCACATCGATGAGGATTTCACGCACGATTGCATTATTTTTACACCCATGCACACATTATATATACAACAAAATTTGTTTATACACTTTGTAGAAGTTAAAATCAAACTGAAACTTTCATAGTGAATAATTCTTAGAGTTTTTGTTCAATTTTTCTAAATTTAGTGTCAAATTAAAGAGAATTTCATAATATTTTAAATAGTATAAAAATTTATAAATTTAGATATTTCTACAGGGTGTTAAAGGCAAAAATATTAAATTTTGTCATAAAAATTACGATTTTTCTACTTTTTCAACAAAATTATTAATAATTCACGAATAAATTATTCCATTTAACTACTTTAAGTGTCAAATTAAAAGCAATTTAATTATTTATCACTGTTACTACTAATTTAATAATTTTTAATGTTTTTTCAACGAAAAAAATCCATTTAAAGTAAAAAAATATCAAAATTTTGCACTAAAATTCAAATAATTCCAAAATAGCAACTTATATTATCAAAAATATAATAAATATTTAAAATAAATTCAAAAACACTCAAAATAAACTCAAAATTTTGTTCCCCAGTAAATTCTACCAAAAATTACACGCAAAAAACAAATTTTTTACACTTTGTAGAAGAAGTCAAGTTATTATGTTACCATGGGAACTTGAGGCTTGATGATGACAATAGCGCAACCGGAATTGTTTCGACTAATAAAAATGTGTAACAGTGTAACTGAGCGACTGAGCGTAACTTAATCCACGAGTATGCTATGCGTATAGTAGTATTTCGTTTGTTTTTCGTTGTTGTTGTGTTGTGCGGTGTATTCCGCTACTTTCTCTTCTAACTTTTAACTTAACACCAGGTGTGTTGGATACTGCAGCGGACACTCCTGCTGCTGCTGGAAAGTCGCCGGCGGTGGCAATACTTTCGCGATCAAAGTACAATAATATCAGACATCAGGTATTAACAATATCGACAGAAACACATACGAATTACGAGTACGAATACATTTTAAACTTGACCTCTCAGTTTAAAGTCCTGTAATTTTATTCGTACAGGTGTAAAATTACTTGTTTCAATTTTATTTCATTTATTTGTTTATATTCTACTATTTTATATGTATTTTTGTGAAGTTTTTATGTTTTTAATTGGGAAAATACGAGTTTTATAAAAAAATATCAAGTTTTTTCTTGGATTTGTTTAGTAAAATGTTAATAACTTTGTGATTTTTGTTTAAACATTTATAAATTTTATATACAATTAAAAAGTAGTAAAAGACGAATAAAATGATATCAAATTTATGTTTCTGCATTGCTTCTACAGGGTGTTATAAGCAAAAATAATAAATTTTGCAATAAAAATAAAATTTTAGACTTTTTTAACAAAATTATAAATAATTCCCGAACGTGTTGTTCAATTTTACTCATATATCATTCAAAATAAAGATAATTAAATTACTTAACACTACAACTACTAATTTATACGTTTTTCATGCCGTACCTCACAAAAAAATTGATTTCAATGATAAAAACGATATTGTTTCAGTAAAACGGCTGTAAAACTAAGTAATTCTATACTCTGCGATATTTTTACAAGTAATTTAAGCAAAAACAGAGTAATATGAACTTTTCCAGCAATTCCCTGCGCGCATAAAGCGCAAATTTAACATAAACTCGGCTAAAATAATAAGATTTAACTCGATTCCAATTTCAAGCTCGAGCTGCGCTCTGAGTCTGGGGGCAAACTGTGGGGTTGCCACCGCACTGCGTCGACTTTCATCTAATTATAAATAACAGGTACACCTAAACGCGCCGGAAAATAGAAGCGTCAACAACATCTTCGTCTTTGCGTCCCTCCGCTGCGCCGCCGCTCATCCGCGTTATATATTTAGACCGAAAGTGCACATTTACCAAATTAAATATGGAACCAGCGCGACAATTTCGTAAATTGTAGCTGGTGAGAATCCAGTCGTGACGACGAAATAATAAAAATACGCGCACGGCGTAATAAATCACATCGGAGAGGCTGGTAGGGTTGTAAAACCAACTTGGGGAGTTTGTGGGTGGTTGGAAAGTGTAGCGGCGGGGAGACGAGCGAAGGGACTATACTTACGCACCCGGTCGACCCTGGTGAACCCCGCAAACTAAAGCCGCCACTATTAATAATATCACTGCGGTACTGCGCCACCTTGGGTGGATTTTACCATCTTTTATTTTATTTGCTGCAGGCGACATTTTCATTTTCTCACGGCGCTATTTCTATTTTTATTTTAAGTGATTACAAATTGTCATCATCCAGACTTGCATTTTTTTTTTCATTTAATGCTTTGTAACTTCCATAAAAATTAATTTATTAAATTGAACTAATGATCATTTAATTCGTAATTAAATTAGCTATAAACTGAGATATTTCCCAATTTTCTAGTTTAATTCTATTAAAAGTTATACGATTGCAAAGTTGCCAAAGAAAAATTCTTCGAGTAGCGAAATTTTAAATCTGATTTTTCTCATTTAAACTCTTGTAACTCCTTAAAAATTTGATGAAAATCTTTGAGACAAAAACAATATAATTCTCAATTAAATTAACTATAAATTGAGATATTCCCCAAAATCCTAACATAATCCTATGAAAAGTTACAGGATTGCAAAATTGCAAAACAAAAATTCTTCGAGTAGCGTAGTTTTAAACCTGATTTTTCTCATTTAAACTCTTGTAACTCTTTAAAAATTTGATGAAAATCTTTAAAACTAAAACAATATAATTCACAATTAAATTATCTATAAATTGAAATATTCCCCAAAATCCTAACATAATTCTATAAAAAGTTACAGGATTGCAAAGTTGCATAACTAAAATTCTTAAAATAGCGTAATTTTAAACCTGCTTTTTCCCATTTAAAGTCTTGTAACTCCCTAGATACTTGATAAAAACTTTTTAGTCAAAAACAATATAATGCCCAAAGAAATTATCTTCAAATTAAGATATTCCCCCATATTCTAAGACTGTTCTCTCAAAAGTTATCCGATCGCAAAAAACGCGCGACAAAAAACTTTAAACTTCTGTGCCTAGCTGTGAGTGCAGACTTCCACTTACACCCCAATTACTCAATAACTCCAAATTGTACACACTCAACTAAACTCAACGTTTATTCTCCATTAAATTACCTTTCCAGAGAGACATTACAGAATATTCTGCGAGTACTTGCCCCAGACTTATACACACAACAAAAAACACTTCACGATGAAAAAAAAAAACTCAGTCTATAAGTTTTTAGGCACGTCTGGTTCTGGTGTCTGCATGACTTTGAGTCTTATCACAATATTGATTTGTAATAGATGCAGACATTAGATCAACGCTTGTGTTTTTGCACGTCTACAGAATCTGGACGCCAAGTGTTACCTTTCACTTTTGTGCAGCACAACCTGCATATTAAAGTGTCTTATTCTGCTTTAATTGCGCATTTTCAAGCGTCCTGCAAGTGCAGGAGTAATGACCACCGAGCGTGTTGCAGTTGCAGGCGATTGTTGTGTCGTTGTTATAAAGACATAAATGAAAATGAACTCAGCACTCCGCACTCGGCGCGCGCGGATGTGACCTCCGCAGATTGAATACATTGAATAACAAATAAGCCCACAATGAAATCATCCAACAACAAACACAAACTGCATAATATTTAATGAATTATTACCTGTGGAAATCAACGCTCTGTGTGTGTTTATGGCCGTGAATAAATCCAACATCCATTTAATACCAACGCGCGCAAAACAATCACACGGATGATAACAAACAAAACAAAACAAGTGTCGATCGGGCGTGCATCATTTACCTCACGTTTTTTCTATCGTACGTTGGATTGTTTGGCACGAAGAGACACGCGACTACACGGCGCGACGCGTACGCACAGACTGGCCGTGCAGGAATATACTTCTTACTCTTGCAGGTCGTGCAGGAGAATTAAATGCAATAACAATACACGTAGCGCCATCTGTGGGCAAATGGTGAGACTAAAATAGGTTTACTGTTATGTAAAGTGATGAAAACCCAAGGAAAAATCAATCTGTTGGTTGGTACTGATGAAAAACAGAAGAAAATTCATTCTAGAACAAAAAATTAATATAATTAACAACAGTTGCAGTCGTCACGAACAATAAATGAGCAGTTTTTGATAGTTTTCAATAATATGCATGTATGATGAAGGAAAATGCGTTTCTGGGATTTTTAGATGCAGAAAAAGACCTATTTCGACAGTGTACACTATTGTCCGTGATAGAACATGTACACAAGACGATGTCAAAGGAATCAAAGGCCTGAAAGGCATCAAAGATTTCATCGTCACCAAACGAGATGGACCAATGGAAATTCGTCGACAAAAATGTGTACAAGTCACAAACAGCAACAAAATACCTGTTAGACAACAAAAAACAGTCAGGATATACAGAGTGATCACATAAATTAAAATAATTAAACTATAAAACTTACCAAAAATGCAAAAAACATGATTTTTGCAACTGAAACCATAAAATTTCTTACTTTTACTAAATATATTAATATTTTATTACACCAGACTCTTTTATAAAGTGTAAACTGTAAAACAATGCATATATCTGTTATTCCATCCTATGCTAAGTCCAATATTCTTCATCTACATAACTCACCTACAAACTGCAAATCGTCAGAGATCTATTATTTTACTGTAAGTGGAAGTGTAGTGTAGCTGATGTGTACATGAAAAAAATGAATTTAGAAAATGATAAGACGCGCATCGGTCGGACTCTGTTCCATAGGGCAATACGGGCATTTCATCCTAAAAATAAAGGTAACAAATACTATAAATTGATGTGTTCGACTACGAATACCACAAAAAAACTAAATAAAAATCATTATTTTGATACTTACTTGCTGCCATTACACAATTTATTGAGCGCATCACGAGATATAACGTGTCCGCAGACTAATCTCATCGGCGGGTTGATATCCGTCGACTGCTGGCGGAGAATTGGACAAGCAAACATCGAATGATACCGGGAATCATTACCAAGATCAATTTCAATCTAAAAATCAACATTTCGTCATTTTTATCAAAAAAAATATTAAAAATTTTACTTACAGGTAATTCATCTTTGCCATTCCATATCCCTGAGACCTGCCGCTGCATCATAACTTGTTTAATACTCAATAAAGCAGGAATTGCTGTACAGCCAGCATTGACACAAGTCGTCAGTGGTGAATTCACACTGATTCCGAGTAAAGTACACGCATCTTTCAAAAATATCTCATAGACATCCACCCATTCCTCCCTATCCAACAGACAACTATAAGGACTGTTATCAATGCCATTCGGAACGTATAACAACAATCCCATGAGTGATTGTATGTCTTTTTCGTGTCTATTCACGAATTGTTTGAAATGCGTGCGTGCATATCCGATTGCTTCATTCTGCGCCGGCGGGCCTTGTCTTATCAACTCTATGAATTTAAGTCGGTGTAATTTAAACTCTAACGATGAGTTATTCATTGCTAATGCATCTCGATGTACTTCTACCCAATGCAGAGCCGGATCCAGTTTGTGTTGCTGCAGTGCATCGAGAATATGATTCAATTCCAGATAACATTCTTTATCGCTGTGTTCCAGTGCTACATTTGCTTCACCCATGAGAATATCAGCCACTTCATAGAAGCCATGTCTCTGTAGGTGTTGTATGATGACTTTGTTGACCAATTCCACTTTGTCTGGTGTGTTGAAAATGTCATCTTTGCTGGTGGTTGATGAGAAATCCGGGACGAAGTTACGGTCGATTGCTTTGCCTACTTTGGAGACGGTGCCGTGCAGATCGCGGTGATCTGTGGCGAGATGCATGACAGTGTCTTTGATTTTCGTCATTGTTTGTTTGAGGACATCTTTTTGTATTGCGGTCATCTCGTGCTCTGCCGGGGCTAAATGATTAGAATTATTTATTGATAAATAGAGATATGATGGTTGTGGGTGATTTAGCTTACTGGTGGACCATTCTTTTCGGAGATATTCAACGGTATCGATGAGGTCTTGTAGTGAACGCGTTGTATGGTCGTCGATGCCTTGGAACTTGGAGAGGACACGATCGACTTCTTTTTCTACTGCGTAGCAGGCGTCCATTGTTGATGGGATTTTGGCTAGTAACGCACCACGACGCACTTTCGAGGATATACGAGATTTACGAGTTGTAAGCAGCTATGGTCTATTGTTGTTGTTTGCTAACGGAGACTCAACATTTGTTTTCGTGACTTGTCATTTTCGATGTATGCAGGGTTGCATATACGTTGAATTATTCTACAGGAGGTTTTAAAGTACAGCGCGTGGTTGACCAATCACGTATCAGTATCACTAACCCCCACCACTTTTTGCGGGTAATCCTTGGTAATTCACAGATCAACCGGGTTTTTTCTCCTCTATTTTCGATTTTCAAATGTTAAAACAATAAATCTCCACGAAACAAACCCCAACAATCAAATTTCGACAGTTCCAAACATGTCTCCCATGTAAAACTCTCAAAAAACCATAAAATTCTTGTCCCCGCGATAAAAATTAAATGTGCACATGATAAAAATGATGCAATTTAGTTGTGCGTACCGTAAACGTAAACATTACATCAAAAACTTCCAAGTGCCACCATTTTCCGAAGCAAAACTCCAACTTGGTCATGCACTCGCGCAGGTTTTACTGGACGATTGTCCTGAATCGCTCAAAGATGAAATGCACCTCTCTACACCCCTCCAAGGCCCCGGCGAAAACCTCTGGCTATCACCAAGTGATCTCCTCATTGACAAAGTAGTCCTACGTCCTCCCCTAACAGCAAAACACGTCAAAGCCCTCACACATGAAGGTATTCTCAACATCGGCGAAGAAATCGAAGCGCAATGGCTCGCAGCTGTTGAACTAGAAAAACGCCTCGCATTACAAAACCTTGAAGAACTACTCCTCATGCTTGCAGAACGTGATAAAGAACGTGCTGTGGGTCAAGCACTGCGCAACTGCGAGAAACAATTCAGAAACTACATGGATCAAGTGAATAAAGAATTCGAAGCGCTTCTTATTAGTGAATTAGCTGATCTGGAAGCAACTCTACGTGAATACTATGAGAATCTCATCGAGGAACAGATTAAGGTGTGTCACGAAGCACAGGAACAGTATCTTGAGGATCAAATCCAGTTTGCTGTGGATGCTGTTGTTGCGGAACTCAGCGAGAAGTTCATGAATGACCTGAGACAACAAGAAAGAGATTTAGAAGACATGTACAGAGCTAAATTAGCAGGGCAACACGAGCGACATCTACAAGCACTGGAAAATCAAGAGGATGTGTTTACTGTTGTGATGAAACAACTTAAACATAACCTACAATGTAACAACATAGCTAGTTTAATGTATGTGTTGTGCATGGAGAGAAAAAAGTGTATTCAAGAGAAAGATTTACTCACAAATGGCACAATAGATAGGTTAAAAGAGCTGGAAAGTGAGGCTAGACATAACCATGCTGAAATTATTAAATTAAAACGTGAATTACAACTTAGTCAACGTAAACTGTCAATAAGAGAGTGTTGTCTTCTCGGGGTGATAAAACAGTTCCAGAAGTTTATTAATTACGCGTTGAGAGCTGTACCAACACAAGCTGAGTTTCTTTTAAGTGTTGAAAAGATGATGACGCTGGAAATCACGCAGGCGTTGTTAAAATCACCGAAAAAAGATGGCCGACCCGCACGGATGATTATGCCATGGCGGAAAGTCTCACAGGAATCGTCAACTGAACCTCCACCGATGCATAAAGATAATACTTGCATGAATGAACCGGATCCACCGACACCGAAAGAAGGTGATGAGGAATTATATGCTATGACATATGCGAATAGAGTATACGTACGTGAAGATTTTCGAAATTGTTTAACGCAGGAAGATTGTCCTCTGAAGCGATCATCGAATGCACTCTGGAGTAAAAGTGTCGCTGATCTTATAACATTGATACAAGACGTGAATGAACGCGAAACAGCCGCCATTTCACGTGAATCTGATCATGGTGAGCGTGAATACAGCGGCCATGTTGGACAAATAAGTACTGAACAAGTCAGTAGTGTGGCTTTTGTCAGGCATATAATTGAAACAGAATATGACGGTTTACGCACGACGAATGAATCGGTTTTATTGCCAAAGTCTTTTCTAACCCCACATTCACAAACGTCCGCGCCTAGTTCACTCACGCCATCTGGTGTCGCGCTACTAGCAACTACTGATTCAGTCATGTTAATGAAAGAAAAACTCGGCACATCTTTGTTGTTATCCACGGAAGACCCGGATGAAATTGAAATTAACCTAATTCCTGCACCTTCCACCGCAACGATAAAAATAAACAAGTTAGGCCCGCGCAGAATCACAAAATATCCGAGTGAATTATTGAAAGGTACTTACTCGGAAGTGACGTTGAAGTTGACCAAACTGGCAAAGACACAGAATAAAACCAAAGCAAGAACATCGGCGTCTCGATGCTCGAAACCAAAAAATTCCCAAGATAGGAAGTTATCCTGTAAAGGTATGTTGTCAACAATCAGTCAACACGTTGATTCCATGGAGTTGATCACCACACGCAGTGGAAAACTGAAGAAATCGCTGAATGTCGTCACACCGATCGATACAGTCGACGAGGAATTCCCCACGCAGCAGGTTATGATCGATCCGCCATCGGAAATCAGTCGGGACTTTCCGGAAATCAACTTTGAGCGCGTGGCGAAGGTTTTCGAAGAGGTTTACAAGCCGTCCAAGCCATGGAGCATCTACAAAAAGAAATCATCAGTAATCAAAGTTGAATCCGTCACAGAACAACCGATAAATTACCTTAAACAAGAAAACCTCGCTAGTATCATCGGACAAGATTCAAAAGAGGTTAACAACAACAGTGAAGACTTTACAATGCACCGGATACACTCGATAATGGACGTTTTGAAACAAGACGACAGTCTTTTACGGATATTCACGAAATGTGCGCAGTAGTAACACAAATGACAAAATAGTCTCGCTTGCTTATAGTTAAATTAGGTTTCTTACATATTTATACATATTGTTTGTATATATATATCGTCATTTGTTTAATAAATTAACGCTAAATCTTCGTATCGTCAACTATGTATATGAACATGGCGTCGGTTAGAGATGATTCTGCAGGAACGACAGCAGCGTCGTCTCGTAGTGTTTGCTCGCGTCCAGATGGCGCAGCGAGTGCCTTTCATTCGGATAGATTTGCAACTGATACGGCTTACCGGCCTTCACCATGCTGTTTATCAGTTGACTAGTGTGATAAAAGTGCACGTTCTCATCGATTAATCCATGAATAATCAATAATCGATTTTCCCTGTTGACATAAAAACCAACAAATAAAAATATGCAAGTTTGGTTGCCTATGTTAAATAAGTAATACTCACTCTTCGGGGAATTTATTGATGTAATTCAACACTGAGCCTTCATCATACCCTTGCTGATTATTCTCAGGGAGATCCATATATCGCTCCGTGTAGCCTGTATCATACAACATCCAGTTGGTGACCGGTGCGCCAGCAATCGCCAGTTTAAACACGTCTGGATGTTGCACAAGTCCCATCAGGCTGAGATAACCTCCATACGACCAGCCATGTATCGCCACGCGGCGTAAATCAACATAACCTAAACTACTCGCCAGCCATTTGAGCACCTCGACTTGATCCACCAACTCAACCGTACCCATACGTCCACGCAGATAACTCTCAAACTCTATACCACGATGCTGCGATCCTCGTGAATCAATCGCCACAACACAATACCCACGCGCCGCTAACATATGCATGCGCAACTGTCGCATACCTTTAAACGCATTCGAAACCAACTGCACCTCAGGCCCACCGTAGACATTCAGTATAGTCGGGTATTGTTTACCTTGCTGGAACCCATGCGGTTTGAATACCATCGCATACAGGGTGTGCCCCGATTCGATCGTGTGCGTGAACAAATCCGGGCAGTATTTCTTATTCAATGGCGGGCCGGATTCAAGAAGGTACCCCAACGGGGTGAGTTGCACACCTTCAACCGTCCAATCAGTGTGAGTCACCTTAAACACCTGACACGCAGGGATATTCTCGATATTACTATAAACCGTCACCAGCATGGAACATTCATCGTTGAAATCACACTGGTAGGAATACCCGGTGCGTGTGAGTAACCTAACCTCACCGGGTCGACGTAATGAGACAACATAGAGATGTTTCTCTAGGACAGTCTCACGTAAACCCATAAAGTACACAACTTCGCGTTCCACATCCACCCAGATGTCCTGCGCCAACACCTCCCAATCACCATGCGTCAGCGCCACCTTTTGTAATAATTTCGGATGCAGCGAAACATGATCCATTGGTTCTGAGATGCCATTTGTATAGGGCATGAGTTGCGCTGTGACCAGGTACAAATGCCGGAAACCAGTCTCCTCGCTGGCCCAGATAAACTGTACCTGGTTATCTGAAGCCCCCGGGAGGAAGACAAGCAAGTCATGGACGTTCACCCATGCGCAGGACTCTTCCGCGTAGATAACCTGCAAATTCCACCAGAAAATTACTAAAAACCCTAAAAAATCACTAAAATTTACTCACCTGCACCATTGGGTTACCAATATCAGAATTGGTGCCTTCATCGTACATGGGTAACACCTCTGTGAAATTACTAAGTGACAATAGGACCAATTCAAGGTGTTTTTGTCGCCTGTCCAGTAGCTGTACCCAAATATACTCGGAATCTGGTGTCCATCCAGCGCGTACGATGTATTCCGTCCATGGGAATAATGTATTCACGCTAAATTGTAATTCTAACATGACAATATCAGTGATTTGTTGTGTATCACTGATTCGGAACTCGATTAACTTCAGGTAGCTCTTTGAATTGGCGCAGCCGGCGCGTGGGAAGCGAAACTCTTCCACTTCGCCGCTGGGATCGGACTGTGACGAGGGAAAACAGAAGATTTTCACGTCGCCGTCGTCGATTTCTTCGTACAGGATACGATATACACCTAATGCGCATGTTGGTTGCCACCAGTATCCTTGATACCGGCTGAATTCTTCCTGCATGACATAAGATGGCACGCCTGCGCAGAGTGGATCGTCTGCTAGGTTACGTCCGCCTTTGTGCGCGTAGGTTAAACGCTCATTGCAGCCGGAAACAGTGTGGGCAACCCAAATGTCTTGGTTGCAAATGTAGGCAACCAGATCAGGATTCGAGGGGCATATTTGCGGGTTGAGTTTTGCGCCTGACGCGGTGGATATTCGAAGTTTTGTTGGAAATAATGGACCGGCCTATGAATTAATCATTCAAATACGATATTTTTATAGGATTATTTAGTACTTACTGAATAACCGTTGTCTATGCATTGAAATAAGCTGCTGTTGGCTGGAAAAACAATTTTCCCGGACGCTGAATGAATTTCATACCAGTTTATGCCCCAGGTGGCAAGTCGTTTACGTTCCCATAACAATTGTTCTTCTCTAGAGTATCTAATGGATGCTGAGACCGTCGGAAAGTTGGATTCGATCACGCAGTGCCATTGCAGCGTGAGTGATGCATTCGGATTTTCATTTGGTACGTCGGCGAAGAGCAGTGTGCTCTCCCAGCCGTTCTGCGGCGTGCTGAGAAAGTAAATACGTGTGCGGCCGTCGTGCAGCTGTCGGAAGGATACATTCGTCGGCACCATCGTCGACAGGCTGGATAATTGCCGACGTAAATCGGTGACGACATTCTTCAGCTCCGACCACGACAATTTGCAGTCTGCGCTTTCGGCGTCCATTTCAACGCGCAGAGAAGATTCGATCTCTTCGGCTTCAATACAGCTTCATTTTTGATGTGCTCTCATTTAACACACGCGCACGCGGCCACTACGATTGCGACATTTTATTTAATACCGCACCGAAGAGAAACGCTCGCGACCCAAATATAAACGAAAAATGCAGCGAGCACATAACCAACATAATCTTCAAGTGTGGAATGAGTGACAAGCGAGAAACAAACGACACGCAACCCAACATACACCTGAAAAATTTAAACATTTGTTTAAATATTCATAAAATAACACGGAAAACACTTAATAACTAATCAAATTAGTTATTTTTAACAATATTTTAATTTATTAAGTTGTATTTTGTGTTTATTGAAACGCATGATGCGCACATTTTAAATTTTTAACCTTAAAGTTACTTATTTGTCCTTTACGAAGCAAATAACAAAAGGGTCAAAGAAAAAACAACAATAAAATGGCTTTAAGACGTGTTTTAGTTACACTAGAAAGAATAGCAAGTGCCAGTTTAAGAATGCCTACGCAAACAAACAATTTACGTGTTAATTTTGTAAAAACTTTGCACACATCACAAAATTTATGGGAGACAAAACAAAATCAACCAGAAAAGCCGGAAATTTCCAGCCTGGACCCTGTAACACCCCTCAGACTAACTGAAAAAGTACCCCTGGGTAAACTAGAGGGTAAAATGCAGTTGATCTACACTTGTAAGAAGTGTAACACCAAAAATATGCACCACATTTCAAAACTTGCATATCAAAAGGGTGTAGTCATTGTAACATGCAAAGGATGTGAGAATCATCACTTGATTGCTGATAATCTCAACTGGTTCACAGATCTGAATGGCAAGAGGAATATTGAGGAGATTCTGGCTGAAAAAGGTGAAGTTGTGAGAAGGTTAAGTGTAGGTGACACTAGTCAGGAGTTTATCACAACTTCTGAAGGTGAAAAGAGTGGAAACAAGTTGTAATAAAATATAAATTGTAATAAAGTACAAATTTCTATCAAATATATACGCGTTTCATGCTTAAAATCCTAATGGCACTTCATTGCAATCATTCTGCTTCAATTTGGAACAGTTTCAACTGTCAAATGTCAAAAATCCGTCAAAAACAGTTAAAAATTGATTCAAGGCACTTGTTTATAAAGGATATTGAAAATCCTGCGGTAATTTCTTATAATATAAGATAAAATAGTTAAAATTGGTAGATTTTCTGTCATATTTGTGATAATTAAGCCTAGAATAGTTAAATTTTAAGGTTATGTCACATTTTGACATATTCTAGACTTGTTATCACTTATTTCAACGATTAAAACATACATTGACCAATATTTCATGTCAATTTCATTGGCACAAATAAAAACAGCACCGTCATCATCAGAAATGCATCCAAGTCGTTGGCGAGTACGTAAATAAACGACTAGACTCTTTTTGGTTTGCTAATAACCGCGTACTCGGTGTCATTAAACGACTTGTGACTCACCTGCGGTTCTTTTTTGCGTATAACCGCATAACCCAAGTGCGAATCGTCCGCCGGGCGAATACTTTCGAAAGTATGCACTTCATCATACTCATTGAAGGCGGGTGTCGCCGGCGGAGCATTCGGATTGGGCCGTACCTGTTTATAACCGGAAAGATGTAACTTTCCAGATGATCCAAAGAAGTTTAACTTATCATAACTCTCTGGATCATCATCCTCCGGCGCGGTGATTACTTTTGACGCTGTGGAAACACTCGCTGTGCCTGCGCTGAACATTTTCGATCCCCACGACATGTAATCTTCTTCGTAGTTGTCCTCAATGTGTTCGTTGTGTTTGACTTCGTCTGTTCCGAGTGTCTGCCATGCTTTATCACGGATTTCTACTTCGTCGTACTTGGAAACAAATTCATAATCTACATCTGAATGTGATTGTAGTAGTTGTTGAGTGGATGATGATGTAGATGGCGGTAGTTTCTTTCGGGGAGGTTTCTGCGGTGCTTTTATTTGTAGTTTTTCCGAAACATCCTGTGAAAACTGTTCGACATCTTGCAGAGAGGTTGAAGTTGTCGGTGATGGTGGTAATGGACTCCGACTGCGTGCTTCCATGTTCAAAACAGCTTGGAATTGTTTATCTCCGCATTCCAGACTGCTTGCCGAGTCGGTTTTTAATAGTTTCTTCATTGATTTCATCTTCATTGTGATGTATCTTTAAACAAACAAGATGGCGGTGGTAATACTTAATCTTGTCACAGAGGGCGCCACTAACAACGCTCAGAAAATGTAAATATAACTAAATAAACCGCATTTCTTTATCAAACACATAAATAAATATAGAATTTTGATGTTAAATGACTCACCGAAATATTTCCTGTTCATTGGAATGTTCTAAAAGGAATTTCCCTTCGCCTGAGTCACATTTCCGGCCGGCTTCGAATGTGAACTTTCCACTGCTGTATCCATACCGCCTGATAAACTGATACGGCCATGTATACAGCAGAGAATTATCCCCAGCTTCCCTCAATTGAACAGCAATCGGAGTCAGAGCCAAAACATAGATTTTCTGTAGTAGATTACATCGAATTGATGCTTCTGTTTCGACCAAACGCACACTGAAGATCCCTTCGCCTGTCGAACAGTACAAATCATTATCTTCCACAAGGGTTGTGATCTTGGATGAGTTGTCTCTGAATGCCACCATTTGCAATGCATTCACCCATTCGTGCAGACACTGTTCAGTACATGTGCCGAATTCATAGAAACCAGACTTGGTTACAATAGTAAAGTATGTGGAGCTTTTACGGGAAACTTTGACGCAATCTTTTAAGGTGATTATTTTTCCCTGGCTGCCTTTTCGTGCCTCATCAATGTCATCGTAGATTTCCATGCGCTCCACGCCGGATTTGCTCGCTTTGTAAAGCATACAGAATTTTGGTTGCCATGTTTTCTATAAAACAGCTTGGAATTGTTTATCTCCGCATTCCAGACTGCTTGCCGAGTCGGTTTTTAATAGTTTCTTCATTGATTTCATCTTCATTGTGATGTATCTTTAAACAAACAAGATGGCGGTGTTAATACTTAATCTTGTCACAGAGGGCGCTAGTAGAAACGATCAGAAAATGTAAATATAACTAAATAAACCGCATTACTTTATCAAACACATAAATAAATAAAGAATTATGTCGTTTTATGACTCACCGAAATATTTCCTGTTCATTGGAATGTTCTAAAAGGAATTTCCCTTCGCCTGAGTCACATTTCCGGCCGGCTTCGAATGTAAACTTCCCACTGCTGTATCCATACCGCCTGATAAACTGATACGGCCATGTATACAGCAGTGAATTATCCCCAGCTTCCCTCAATTGAACAGCAATCGGCGTCAGAGCCAAAACATAGATTTTCTGTAATAAATTGCACCGAATTGATGCTTCGGTTTCAACCAAACGCACGCTGAATATCCCTTCGCCTGTCGAACAGTATAAATCGTTGTCTTCCACTAGGGTTGTGATCTTGGATGAGTTGTCTCTGAACGCTACCATTTGCAATGCATTCACCCATTCGTGCAGACACTGTTCAGTACATGTGCCGAATTCATAGAAACCAGACTTGGTTACAATTGTAAAGTACGTGGAGCTTTTACGGGAGACTTTGACGCAATCTTTTAAGGTGATTATTTTTCCCTGGCTGCCTTTGCGTGCTTCTTCAATGTCATCGTAGATTTCCATGCGCTCCACGCCGGATTTGCTCGCTTTGTAAAGCATACAGAATTTTGGTTGCCATGTTTTCTATTTAAATTAAAAATACAAATAAAATCAGTCGGTTGTATACATGACTTAAGTCTTGATGAATATGAATATTTCACTTACTTTTAGGATTAATTTGCTGTTTGGTTGTGTGAGCAGGATACCAGAGTGGATTACTTGATCATCGTCCATGACGCCGAGTGTGCGCGTACATTATTTGCACGAAATCGAAGCAAAAATAGTGAAAACTTGTTATCGCGAAGCACACTAAGCGCACATAACTACATTATGTACATTACTTAACTCATTTTTACTCACTTTGCACCAACATGAGCGCAACTCCCAGTGTATACAAAGTTGCATAAGTTAAATGCAAGTTTTAGTAGAGGGCAGCGCAATGCAGACTGTCAGTCAAACAGTCTACACAGTTTTTGGTTTTTATCTTTATTTGTACAAGTTAAACATGATACAAATATTTATTTAGGTGTGTATATATTTATTTAGACTAATACACAATTTTTTACTTGAAAATGTGCAAAATTTGACGTGAAAATGAAGTTGCATAACATATAATTCATCCACAGTCCGACTGTCAGTCAAACAGTCTACAAAATACTTGGTTTTTATCTTTATTTGTACAAATATACATGATACAAATATTTATTTAGGTGTGTATGTATTTATTTAGACTAATAAACAGTTTTCTGGTTTAAAATGTGCAAAATTTGACGTGAAAACAAAGTTGCATAACTCATAATGCACACACAGTCAGACTGTCAGTCAAACAAAGCAAAAACAATCAATTTCACGTTGTTTTTCTATTTATTTATATAAAACCTACGTAATACAAATGTTTATTTAGTCGTTTACATAATTCGTTAGTATAATAAATAATTTCTTAGTGTAAAATGTACAAAAACCTCGTCAAAGCTTAAATCTTATCCGCAACAATCGTGATTGACAGGTTGCGATCAGGCCATGTGAAAGTCTTCGGCAAACTCAGCGCTTCCGGCGTCGCTAGTACCTGAAAAGTCACCGCCATATCCTGTGCGAGATCATCAGGAATAAGCACTTGCAACCAGCTGCCTTGCGCAACAAACGGATTGTCTAAATCAACCAGAGTTCCAGTCACTGAATGCGCAACCAGAGTAATCGCTGTATCGCCAAGCACAGACTTGAAAGTAAAATGTCTGCCGTGTTTGACACGTCCACGAATCGCCAGCGGAAGTAAACTGCCTGCTTCCAGGTTAAAAACAAGATGAATACCATCCAGTTTCTTAACGTGTAACAATTCAGTGGATTCTAACATGGCGGACGATTCACGAACATCGTCACATTTATTATTCGAGATATTACTTGATTGTAGGCCTTTCTGCAGTGCTGTTTTGATTTGCTCGCTTTCCTCCTCGGTTATTCGACCATCTTTACGTTTTTCACGCCCGTCTGACCATGAACAACGTGCGCTCACACCGCTTAAGTTAGAACCTTCGAGTTCGAAGCCACGTTCGAGTTCTTCGTGTGCATTCGGGTCTAATTCGAAGATACTTTCACCACGGCGCATGTCTGTTACATGCCATGGACCTCCAGAGCTACAAAAACATCAAATGAGGTTATAATAAACATAAAATATGTAAAAATACATACGTTGGGAGATTGCTCAGCATGTTCAACACGCCAATTCCATTCCATTGTTGTGCAGCGCGTAATTCATCCGCGCAAACACCAACAATCTGCACGAAATCAACGCTGCCGAACGGCGTCTGCGCAGTGTTCAACTGCACGTCATTGGTCATCAACATATGTTGAATACGCGAATCGTGATTGTCTAATGCACAATGCCATGAGACATGATCACCCGCACACAGGGTGTTCCCAGAATGAAACACATACTTTGCCAGTGATTGCATGAGTGTTGCAGGCCATGTAGGCGGTGATGATTCGCCTGGTTCACGTTTCAAGCGAAATGTAAGCTCAAAACCAAAACCGGATGTGCCGTCTGCAGGAGTGTTTAGGTCATGTACGCGTCCATCGCCATGGAGATCAGAAAGACCGAAGCTTATGTAATGCCAATGCGGCGGGATGTTATCAACGGGTACTCCTTCATTGGCGTACATGGAAATGTAGTCGAGAGGGTCCGGGCCGCCAAGCCTAAAAATAAACCAAGGGTGAAAAGGGTGATATTTATAGATTTTGATGTTTTTCTGCTGAAGGAAGTTAGAATATCATTTTGTCGATATTTTTATGCAAGTTTTATGAGTTTATCTCTATTTTTAGTGATTTTACAAGCAAAAACATAAAATTTTGAGGTTAAACAACTATTTTTCATTTTTACGGTTTTCTGTGATTATTACCACAAAATTAATGTTTTAAGGCATAAATAATGTAATTCTTTATGATTTAGTGATTGTGGCATAAAGATACCTCAAATATTTGATGTTTTATAGCAAAAATTCATAAATTTCATACCAATATTTAAGCAAAGCTGTAACTTGCAGAGGATTGACCTGATCAGGATATATCTTCCTGCAGAGAGTGTACAAAGCCTCCAGGCCAGCTGGTGTAGGTGGAAGAATGTTCATTGGAGGCCCTTGAGGCAGGGCACCAGCTTCCTCCATCTTGAAACCTCTTTATTTACTAAAACAACAAAGTTATAAATATATCTTGGATAATTGTGTGAAAATCTACTTACATGCATGTAATAATTCACATTACATGTGTAGCATAGTGAAACACACACCCCTGTGTGCCCTGACTGTAACTGAAGGGCGCTGGGCGCGTGGTAAACCAAACCAGAAGAAGAAAAAAACGGAGGAAATGAATGTGAAGAATGAAGGTGATTGTGAACTTGAAGCGACTGCAGCTCACATAACTCGCTGGAATGAGATGCAAGATGTATGCAGGCGTTTGTGGGAGGAAGGAGAGGAAGTTGTGAGTTAAGTGGGGGACGGCAACAAGTCCAAGCACGGTTTTAGTGACTTAAGTAGAGAAAGACGCGCAAGCTGCACCAAAACATTCAGCAAGACTGTATGCTTGACTGGCAGTCACGAATGTCAAGACTGCCCGCCAAGTTAGATATTTGTTAATAACTTAATATTTAGAATACAAAACTAGTAAATTGAAACATTTTTATGCAATTTTATTTAGTACACAACTAATAAGTTGTTTAAAATGTATTATATTTGAATTTAAAGCGGTTATTTTGAGAACTACACATGAATCTAACCAACAATATTTATGCAGGTTTATTTTTTGTTTGAATTAATTTTATCGTGAAATATACACGAAACGATGATAAGAAGTTAATACTGTGATAAATTTTAAGTGAATACAATGTCCAAGTAAATAAAAAAGCGTATAAATCCATGTCATCAGAGTTTCTTCAAAATCTTATTCAAGGGACGATGAGTGACTTTGTAAGATTCATTAAAATGGAATGAATAGTAAAGAAAAGACTAATATAAACATATTTTAGCAACCAGCACCCCGGAAAGGAATACATGAAGATAGAACAACGCCAAAGAGGCCAACAGATAAGCAAGCGATAAAGAAAAATCACAGTTTATCAAGTACAAGCCTCAATTCATCAGTATCAGGCGATGAATGGGAAAATGAAGAACAAAATGTGTCTACACAAGTCATAAACAACAGCGCAAACTCTCAAAGTAAGAATATAACACCCGAAAAGAGAAATAACACAAATAATTCAAGTTCAAACAATAGAAAATCACAATCTAGTATGACATTCTCTGTTATTGCACTAATATTAGTTGTATTTGCTGTCGTAATTGGTGTAATGTGCACAGATACCTTAAAATTGATAAATTTACAAGATGGCCACCAAATGACACCAAAAAAATGTACCCTGAGCAAATTATTCAATGAAACTGAACAATTAGCAATCAAATCCGCAGTCTATGAAATACAAAATGGAGATCTATCAGTCCTCATGTTAATTCAGCAAAAAAACACACAAGTTGATGTAAACAATGAACGAATCGCATCAATTCTAGAATATTCCACTTGTAAACTGAATAATCTCAATGCTTATGCCGAGATCAGTCAGGAATTAATGCACACGCCCGAAATAATCGAAGATTACGGCAAATTGATCACAAAATACAAACCGGAACTCGAAAAAAAGCATGTATTGCTAGTGAAAAACTTAGAAGAGACACCAGCGGAAGTAGCAATGTTATTTCACTTCATTTGTGATCAAGTCACGCCAGTTGTAGAGAAATTATTGATTATATTCACTCTGGAGTTTGAAGAGGCAGATACACATGAAGGTACAAAGCACTTGAGTGATTTTAATATTGTAGAGAAAGTTTTGAATGCAAAATGGAAGAATGGCCTGAAACCGGATGCTCTGCCGCCATTAATCGCGCGATTAACAAATGAAGTAATGCGAATGGAGTAATGTTTGTGAAAAGTGATGTTTCGAACAAATAATGAACAAATTTTGATTGTGATACAAGAAAATGTAGAAATATTCAATAAACTTTGCTGTTACTGAAAGCGATTGATGAATGCCAACCCAACTTGGCGTAATTCTTTGTCCTGTTGGAGGAAGTCTTGAATTTGGAGCTGTTTTAGTTTACGGCGACGTTCCTGGAAACATTTTAAGGTTAACCTCGCTATTTTGACATTATACCCGCGGATAACCTGCAAAAAGTAGTGGGGGTAGACAATGCGATGGGCAATAACCCCCACCACTATTTATAGGTTAAATTTACTTCAATATTTAACTTCTTCAAGTAATGCATCTCTGATCGCATAGTCATGAAAACAGGATTCATTCCTTTGTGAAGTTGTGGATGTCTGCTCATGTGCGGACGGTTTGGATCAATACCCATGATAGTTTTATCTCTGTAAACATTCCAATCAATTATTTACCTCCGAAAATATCTAATTTTATAAATAAACTCACAAACGAAGAAGTAAATCTTCATTGGTCGCCATTTTCGACATTTGACATTTTTTTGACAGCTACAAAGTACACATACTAAAATTCCTTAGAAAACAGCATAGAAAAAGTTGTTTTTGTTGTTTCAAAACAAAACTTATCACCGTCTCGACTATCATTAATCATTTCCGGTCAATTTTTTACTCCTACAATTGTTTTATACTGTGAAAATGATAGAAATGAGGGAATAACATATTATAACCTATAATTAAACAATGGATTTATCTAAACCAAATTAAAATGATAAATATTTTGATAAAATGTATAAAATCAATAAATACTGCATGCAAACAGTGATTATTCGTGTTCGTAGAAAGTTGTTAGGTACGTAGTATCGACTCGCTTTTGTTTAATTATTATTCAGTCTAAATTCAAAATTGTCAAGGTCACCTTCCCGGAATATTTAAGTTTTCTCATTCGGAATCTACGTTTAATTACTGCATTTCATATAAATGCACTCTGTTATCGGGTTTTTTGCCATCTCAGCCTTAATTCCCGCGATATAACTCAGTAAATCCCCTCTGAATCATTCCGCGCACCGTTTTAAGGTTATTGTTGTGTATCGCATTGCTGCGCTTGCAAAATATTTTCCATGGTTCAAATATCGCGTGTTTAGTGCTTCATATTGTTTTCTAGTGTTACAGATGCAACATTCGTGATATAGACTTGGTTACAAAATGCGGACATTGGTAACGCACAATTTGCTTCGATTTGAAATTATGTTTTAAATTTATGTTTTGTTTTGTTTGTGTTGATTAGATTTGCGAGATTTGTGGTCCACATGATGATGATGTCGCTGAAAGACACGCGGATTCACTGCAACATCGATTGAATTATCATCTGGAGTTGAGAGAAGTGAGCAGGAAGCTGAAATTGCATTGTGATAAGATTTTTGTACATCAACAAATCCAGTTGGCTCATCTGAGTGGTGTTCAAGTTCAATATTTTGAAGATACAGGAGTTTATGTTACAAATGTAAGTTTTACACATGATTTTAATGCAGTTTTAATGTGTTTTCTTTCTAGTTGCAATGTGATAAGTTTGAAGAGTTGCAAAACAAGTTGGAATTTGAATTTTTGGTTAGGAATGACAGACCTGATCAACAATGGATTATTGTGGAGGCTTTACATCCACTGGAGAAGTATTTTTTAACTGATTTTAATCCCCTTCCAAAGAGAAGATTGGAGTTTGTGTTGGAAAATGGTAAGTTTGACATTACTGTCAAATGTCGGCTAATTTTGACATTTCAAAGGTGAAAAGTGTAAGTTTTTACTTACTTTTCAACAAGACAACTTCACAATGGGCAAATACACGCTGCCAATCGCGATAACAGTCCAACCAGCAGCGAATCCAATTGCCTACAAGGTACTTTATCGGGATGTCGAGATCACAATCGGTGATTTCACCGTCGTTGAGGATACGGAGGAAGCGAGTCCATTTTGCAATGAAAAATGGCCGCTCAACATGGAAATACAGGAACCTACTAATCAACCGTAACAAATTCAAACTATAGTCAATCCTATTTTAATAATTTATTGAATTTACAGCAAATATCTGGAGAATTTTCATATAATATCTGAATATTTCCGTGTGTACATGCATTGTTTTAAAACTTTCAAAGGAGAAGCCGGTTTGCTTCAACAATATCGCCTGGATACACTGTAAATATATAAAATTTTATATAAAACTATTTTAAATGATTAAATTTACAGTCGTATGTGGGAGAACGGTGTGAATATTTCCAACTACGCTGAATATTTCCATCGTTTGCTGTGGCTTGAAGAATGCACACAACTAATGGGAATCCTTCAGTATAACATGACGCGTGTGCGCGTGCGCGTTGTTCGTTCAAATGTCATCTTGAAAGTGCCAGGATTGGCTGAAAAACGCCCGTCTGTGATGAAGGGAGACTTGGTCCTGCTGCGTCTGTCGAATGAACGCCGCGCGTATAAAGGTGTCGTCGAACTGGTGGAAGATGAACAGTTGACCATTGAGTATCTAGCGCCAGAGTAAGGTTATGCATGTTTTATAATCACATTTAATAAATCTAGACTTTCAGACTCTTAACAATCCTGAGTATACTACCAGATACACTTTTTGATGTCAGTTTTTTACTTTCACGACTGCAACTTGAGCGCATGCATAACGGTGTTGATCTTTGTGTGAAAAATGGAATGTTACACACGACGTTATTCCCAGTACGTCCGTTAAACCGCGTGCAACGTCGTTCTTTGGGACCTGAAGAGTAAGTTTTTATAAATATATTTAAAAAAAATTAATTTTTTGTTTTTTAAGCTTGTTTAATCCAATGATAGCGTTGAATCCACAACAATTAATCGCTGTCGAAAGTATCCTCAGCTGTACCTCACAGAAAGCACCGTATATTATCTTTGGCCCGCCTGGAACAGGTAAAACTGTCACTTTGGTCGAGGCGATTTTACAAATAAAACGCCATTATCCAAACAAAAATATTCTGGTATGCGCGCCGTCAAATGCCGCATGTGATATGCTTGCGCTCAAGTTAGACGATCAAATAAAAGGACGTCAGAAGAAGGATTTGTTCCGTGTGCATACTTGCAACAGAAACATGTAGGTTATGTCAAGGTCAAATCAAGGTTATGTACATATAACACGAATTTCGTTATTTTTTACTTTAGCAACGATGTTCCGACGGCTGTGAAGTATTTCAGCAACATAGACGGCGGGGAATTCTATATGGTGAAGCCCAGTGACTTGAAATCGTACACAATCGTCATCTCCACGCTGCATTTGATCGGAAAGTAAGTTACACGACCGCCATTTTGTAAAACTTTAAAAATTAAGGTTATGTTTTATTTTCATGTGTTTTTTTAAGATTTTCTGGTAGTTACGTGCCGGATATGTTGTTTATTGACGAAGCGGCGCAAACTACCGAACCAGAGTGTGATATACCGATTGGTTTGCTTGCTCCGGGCATGCCGATTGTCCTTGCTGGTGATCCGCGTCAATTGGGCCCTGTCATCGGTGTGCCATCCGCTCGGCATGGCCTGGCGAAGTCTTTACTTGACCGGCTAATGGAAACAATCGAGTTGTATAGTCCTACACGCCAGAGACCTCTGGAATTCAACAATGATTTTATCACGATGTTGGTGCACAATTACAGATCGCACGCGGACATCGTAACAGTGCCTAATAAGTTATTCTATGGAGATTCACTCCAAGTAAATAATTATTTATTATTTTTTTGTATTATTTTTGATTTTATTCTTTGTTTTTTAGTTTAATATTCATAACGATGAAATTTCCAACATGTCCATCGCTGGATTAGTGCTACAGAGTAAAAACAAGAAGAAGAAGATGCGTAAAGGTGCAGCAGTGGAGTTTATTGGTCTGTTGAGTAAAGAACAACGTCAAGGACATTCGCCGAGTTACTACAACGAGATTGAAATTGATATGGTGTTGAAACTCATCGATCGCATGTTAAATTTAACAAATGTGAGAGTTATCGGCAGTGATATCGGTGTTATTGCGCCGTATATCCGCCAGGTGTGTCAAATCCGTAATAAATTGAACGCGCAAGGCAGGGATGACATTCAAGTGGGCACTACTGAGGCGTTTCAGGGCGGCGAACGTCGTATTATCATTATTTCCACCGTGCGCGCCCAAAGTGATCTTTTATTGTACGATAAAAAGTACGATTTGGGTTTCGTCAAGCATGAAAGGGTATACTTTGTGTTTTTTGTTATTATTATTATTAGGATTGTGTCTATTTTTCTGCTTTTTTAGAGATTTAATGTGGCTGTTACACGTGCGCAGGCGAAATTGATTATTGTGGGTAATCCGCATGTGTTAGCGTATGATGACGAGTGTTGGGGTGCAATGATGGAGCATTGTAAGCAGTTGGATAGTTATTATGGCGAAGATGTTCAGAGGGATGAAACGACACGTTATAAGATTATGCAGCATTTCCATGCACGTGAAGAATGAGTGTGATTGACGCAACAGAGTATTTTTGTATTTACTAAATTTTAAATTTTATCTAAACGCACAAGTTGTGTGGATCTTTAAGGGTTGTGAAACAAAACAAAATATATTTTTATATTCGATAGAAAAGTCGGGAATTTTCAAACATTTTGACAGCCAATTTACCGAAGTAATACGAAGTACTGGTTTAGTTCCAAATTTCACCGTTGTAAAACAGCGCTGCTATTTAAACATTTTTCTTTGCATTTTAATAGTTTAAGGTGGAATTGGTTGTTTTAATCTGTAATATTAACTTAGTTTTACTTGATTAATGCGTTTTAATGATTAATTTAGTTGAATTAAGTGCTAATTGTGTGTTTTATGTAGGTAATTATTGGCAACAGTGTCTGTGAAAGTTCAGGGCAACCACGCGCGCTGGCGCTGTGAACCGACGCGCGCGCGCAAAGCGTCTGCCGCGTTCGCATAGTTGGTGACGTCACAGTATTGATCAGATCTGCCGTTTCTTCGGCGGTGCGCCATTTTGAAAAACAAACCAAGCGAATTACGAGTAACGCTAGCGCGTAATCCGATAGATAAATCTGTGATCATCCGTCCGACGTGCAGCCGCACGGAGTTAATTCGTCGTCGTTTGCGATTCACCCATTTGGACGGACCAAGGTAATAGGCGATTTTCACAAAGCGCGAACGGGTTTCGTAATTTTCCGGGTCCGCCGATGTTTTGTAGCGGTGTAGCGCTTTTACCGTTAGCTGATCTCGTCCAACACCGAACAGCCGAAACAAATCGTGCGTTAATTCCGGCCGTGAATAGTTCCTAATCTTAGGGTTGGGCAGAGTGCAATTGACGTGCGTTGGTTGTTTACGCGGAGTATAATTCGTTGATATTTGTGTGACCGATGTCAATTGAGTGGCGTGATTATTAAAAGTGTTTGCGTGCGTTGTTTTCCAGGATAACGGTTCGTTCATTGGGTCCTGAGGATCTAAATGGTTGTGTGCAGACAGCATGTCTACTCTGCCAGGGTTGGCCTCCAAGGGCGAGAAGGAAAAGGCCAAGTATCAAGTATTGGATATTAACAAGTTGTACAGGGTTAGCTTGGTAAGTCATCAATTTAACATTTCACGCGACTGTCAAAAGCGTCAAAAGTATACTGTTTTTTTATAAATCAATCGAAAAATAACAACTAGAAATGGATTCGGTATTGAATTGCTGTTGATTTTAATGATTTGGTGGTTTATTTGATGATTTCTGGTGGTTTTTAGGGGGAATCATCAGAGAATAAGCAGCAGAAGAGCACACTATCTCAGAAACATGGCATGCAAAGCTTGGGTAAGGTCCCCAACACTCGTCGCCCGCCCGCGAATCTCCCGTCACTGAAGTCTGAACACAGCGGCACGGACACCGCGGTTTCTTTGGTACCGTCGAATGGTTCAGGATGGGGCAAACAGGAGAGTACAGTTCAGACATCCACCACTACTACAGTATGTATTTTATTGTGTGTTTTATTTTATTTTGGTTGTTGTTTTATTATGAATGTTTGGGTGTAGGTTCAGGCAACATCAAACAATGTGAATGCGAACGCACCGATAGCAATAGCCGGGCCAGCGCTGAGCGCACACCAAGCTGCGATTGCTTTACCTGTGACGACGACAATTCAGCCCGCTGGGAGCGCAGGAGTCGGTGGCAAACAGCCACCGCCGCAGCATCCACAATCTTCTGCCAGTCCTGCCACAAATCTCGACAAGTCATGGAGCTCGGTGATGATCGGCAGCGATCCAAACGCGGCCCATCCACCACCATACCAGAGCCCGCAATTCCAGCACGAGTTCCCCAGCCTGTCCGCTGGCGATGGCGGGCAACCACGCGCCGCTACCGACACCGGGGGGTACGCGCCCGGGCTAAGCCTGCGTCCGCAAACGGAGGGTTCATGGCTGCAGGGCGGCGGTGCACGCGTGCCCGCCGACAGCTCGGCAGTCCCCGGTGTCGGAGCGCAGCATTCGGCCCCGGGCGGCCCGCCCCTGCCGCCGCAGGTGCGCGGCTTCGTGCCCAATTTTATGTATCGAGCGGGCGGCGGAAATTATCCGGCGAACGGTCATGGCGGTGCGGCTATGCTCCAACAGCAGCAGCAGCAGCAACACACGCAGCAAGCGCCAGCGCGATCCAGACAAGATCCGCGCCACCGGGGCGGCAGCAACGACCCGGAGGAGCTTGCGCATCGCCCCATCATCAAAGAAGAGGACCTCAGCGGCATGGACAACCTCACCGGTGACATGGGCTGGGCGATCAACGACGATATTGACTACAACCAAAAACTCGCGTTCAGCGACGACGAGCTCAAGGAAGCCAAGGACATGCGCCGCAGTATGCGCGACAAGACTGACACTCATCTAATGGAAAACGACCAGAAACCGCAGCAGAAGCCACAGCCTCGCAGTCGACACGAGGAGGATGAATTCTCGGCGCAACGACGCCGGCAGCAGCAAGAGATTGCGCACGCTGTCGAACGCGCCAAGCAGCGCAAGGAGGAAGAGGAGAAGAAGTTCCTCGAGACGAGGCAGGCGGCCGCCAAGAAGCTGCAGGAACTCAACGAGCGCATTGATAAAAGCAAACGCGACAAGGACGTTGACGACAATTGCGGAACGATTAATCCCGCATCAGTGCCACCGCAGACAATCGCCCCGGTTCCCATTCTTCTACCAGAGTGGGAACGCGAAAAGGAGGTGGTGGTTGTCATGCGTCCAAAGCCAGACGCCGAGGACTTGAAGCACAAGACTTCCACGTCCACCGATTTTAAACATCTCACTCAAATCGAGGGTCGTGCCAATTTCGGCCGGAAAGACTCGCGTACAGAGCGCAGCGTTGAAAAGGAACAACCTTCTGGAGGCGCAACGCAAACAACGCAACACAGCAGCTTCTCCAAACAGTTCCAGAATGACCTACCGCCGAGATTCCAACGGCAGCAGCAACTCAACGCGCAGAGCTCTTTCCAGTACGATAACAGATGGTCTCAGGGCGGGAGTCGCACCAGTCCTAGCAATCGTAAGTCTAGAGACGACGACAAGGACCCTGAGGATAGATACCGACGCCAGGATGATAACTATCGCTCGCAGGTATCGCACAGGTACGATTCGTCGAGGAAATCCTACGAAGATTACGACTTCAAACCGAAGGAAGATGAGAAAATGCGCCGGGATGTTCGCCGGGGCGATGACAAAGAGTCGAACTTTGATGGTATGACCATCAGTCGACAGAGTAGTGATGAGTGGCATGGGGATAAGCGTCCGCAGCGGCCTGATAGTCGCGATTCGCGCACGTCGAGAGAATCTCGTGATTCAGCACGTCATTCCGAACCGAGGGAGTATACCTCATGGGCCGAGGAGCCCATTGAAGAAAAGAAGAAGGAACACCGTATGGTCGTACCAGGACCCATCACAAAGGAGAAGATTGAAGCGGATGATTTGCGCAGTGAGAAGCGTAATCTCACCCAGTTGAAGCGAGGCGCCATGGGCGACCAGAGTCTGAATAAGAAATTGGAGAAGCCTGAAGACGATAATGATTCGTGGAGTATTATGAAAAAGGACAGTATTGATGAGCCAAAGGCCTGGGCGGATTCCATCCCACCAGCGGTGGAGAAGGAACTCCTCAAGGCTGGCATGTTGATGAAGGATGAAAAACGCGATGAGGAGGATGAGAAGAATAAAGAAGATAAGAAACGTGGTAGGTCTGATTCGCAGGGTAGTCGCAATCAGGGCTGGTCGGGTAATGTTCAAGTGTACCGGAACTCCTGGTCGAATAATAAAAAGAACACTGCACCACTGCCGAGGAATCCACGTGGTGGTGTTGGTGGAGGCGCTGGGGGTTTACGGACCAAGGGACAAGATATGACTGAGTCGGAGGGATCAGCTGATGATCAAGTTATGCTGGAGAATGGACCCAGTCCGAAGAGTTCAAAGAAATTGGAGAAGGACGAGAGGAATAAAGAAGCGCGCAGCACGGAGAAACAACAACCACTGGATCGTGACAATAGGGATCGTGGTAAAATGGATAAGAATCATTTTGTACCGCGGGGTGAACCCTCTCGTCATGGCAGGGGGGCTTCTTTATCCGGGAGTAGTTTCAGAGGTAGTCGGGGAGGGTCTAAACGGGTGGATACTTATGGACCGCCTGCAAAGAGCCCATTTTCGAATATCGACGAGAAGGATAGGAAACACGATGATGCTCCTGAAGATAAATCCGAGGATAAAAATCGCAAGAAGATTGATCCCAGGAAGAAACCTAAGCAAGACGGGGATGTCTCTGATAATTCGGATGTTGATGGTAGGAAATCGAAGAATTCTCAGAGGAGTGGGTCTATGCAAGGTATGTCCAGAGCGCGTGGCGGTGGTGGAAGTGGAGGTGGTGGGGGTAATACAGCTCCAAGACAAATGCCACCTGTTGATAAACGCGGCTTTGGTGGTCCACACCGCCAGAACGCCAATATCGGCGGTAATCTACCCTCATCACGAAATCTATCTTCAAAGGATAAGGATGGTAAAGATAAGGATAACACTTTATCATCAGCTATTGCTGATATCACCCTAAAAGAAGTAGAGATTCTAGATGGTGAGGTAGTAGATGATGGGTTCCAGGAGGTGAAGAGTAAAAAAACCGACAGGAGTGACCGCAAAATCGTCGAGAAAAAAGAAGAGAAACCCAAGATGTCCGGAGGTATAATATCCAAACCAGAAAAAGATATTAAAAAGCCTTCGGATCGCAGTGTCAAAATGGGTCCATCGCCGCAACAGGTCAGTAACATAGCCAACATTCCATCACTCATGGCTACACCCATCAATCCGCCTCCGAATATGCCGCAGACACAGTCGCAGTCACAAAACAAGGGTCAGTTTGATCGCAATCGACAGAATAAGACACTCCCGCCGCGGTTCGCCAAAGCCAAGGAGCACAATCGCATGCAGAAGGCGCAAATGCAACAGGGTATATGCGACGACATCAAAATCAACAACCCCAATCACATGTACGGTGGCCTCAAGGATGGCCTGCATGTAGGTAGCACCTCGATCAATTCCAACGCGTGGGATAAACCACTCTCGCAACAAATGCGCGTTGATCAGAATCATGATTTGGTTGTGGGCATGGAGTGCAAAGCAACCCTGGAGGCTGCATTGCATCATCCTGGTGCCAGTGATGATAAAACAGTCCTGGATGGGTCGAAACCCTTGACTACGATTATTTTCGAGAATACTAATTATAAATCAGCACCGGGGGCGCGTGGAGGTAACAGGAATGATAAACAACGTAAAATGGAGGATGGTATGGATGGTATACCTTATAACAAACCCATTGGTGATTTGTTAGGTAAAGATAAGACAGATATCCAGCTGCAATTGTTTAATAACAAGGAAGATTCAGCTGATATGAAGTTGGACTTTTTGGAGTCTGAAATCTCTCAGATTACTGAAGAGAAATCTTCAAAGATGAGTTTATCCAGGTCCAACATGAATACCAGCAATAATATCCTCACAGCTGACGCGTTGAATATGAAGATACAGTCGGTGAAGAAGGTTTGGGAGAACATACCGAATGTCATGGATGTAAATGATGATTCATTTGCTTCTTCATTCGTGACTGATTCCAGTACGATGGATGCCAACACAGCGTTCAGTAAAGGTTCAGAGGTACCGGATGACAACCATGATGTTTATAATTCATCGCCCAATGCGACGAATAGCACGACGAATGTGTGCAAAGTGAAACCCACACAGCAAGTGGCTGGCGGTGGTGGGCAGGTGGGCGGTGGACATCAACCACATTCCAATATTGTGGGGCCTGCACTCATGGGTCATGCGTTGTCTTCCCCGCCACCAATACAACCAGTCATGGGTGGATTAGGCCAACCTCCACAGCAGTACACCGCCAGTGGGCATATCAGCTATCAGACTGGACTGGGTAGTAATCAATACGGTGGTATACCAGCACCATCTCCTCCCAATGTGTTGAATTATTCCACGCAGCCACTGCAACAGACCGGGTTGTATGCGCCGTTCCAGCTTGACACGTCGCAGGTGATGAACAATCAGGGACGCTCGCAGTATTCGCAGTACTCGTTTGGTCTCGGGCAGACTGGATCCAGCCCGTATTCACAATCGATGTATCTGCCCACTGCGCAACCGCATGCCCCGCCCAATCAACAACCGGATTTGTATCAGAATATGAATAATTACCGCATGCCGAATACAGGACCATTCGGACAGAATCAACAGTTGAATAATCCAACCACTGTGTTGATTTCTTCAACGTCGAATTCGCTGATGTCGCCGTCTGTCAAGCCGAGCAATCAGCAGATAAGCGCGATTGGTACCAAGGCTGGCGGTGTAGGGCAGGCATACCAGCAACAATCACAACAGGGTCAACAGGTGTACATACCGTTTGATCCGACAATTACCGCGAATTATATGCAGACCGCCGGGGTGATTCAACGGGGACCCGGGGTGCAGAATAATGTCGTGCCTGGTTTGCAACCTTCGGGTCTGCAGCCATCTTCGTCGTTTTATTCCGGCTCGACGGGTGGACAGACTGGGTACTTCCAAGGACCAGGCAGTTCGAGTTTACCTTCGCAGATGCAACAGCATCAGGCCGGGTTCGGGCTGCAGCAGAGCGTTTTCCCCACGCACAATCAGTCGCACACGAACGCTGGAATGCAGAATTATCCCACGCCGTATTTGAGTGGCCAGCAGATGCAGCTGGCTGCGGCGGCCATGTCACAATACCGCTCGGCGAGTATTCAAAACCCGCAGTTTATGAAGAATCAGATTGGTGATCAAGGCCGGCAGCAGTTGAAGAGTCCCGGAAGTCAACAGGAAGTTTTATCTTCGGTTTTTAACTCTGGTAAGTAATATTTAACAACAAAAAGTAATTTCAAGGTCATTCAATGATAAATTTCTTTGCAGGATCTCAGATTGCTTCGCCCAAATCACGCCAGCAGATGAAACAACCACCCCCACAACCCAGTCCGACCGCACACAGCAAATACATGTATGGTGGCATGTCCAGTCAACAGGGCGGACAGCAGGTAGGCTTGAGATTTGTTTGTGTTTGTTCTGCGAACACGCTGAAATCATCAAACAACACAATGTACTAGCATTGACTGTTACAGACCAGATACCCGACGCCCATTCAGCGCCCCGCCGGTAACTACCAGAGCCAGATGAGCAACGTGCAGAATAACTCTGGCAATCCCAATCAGAAACCGCACCGTATGAATAACAATTCCAACAATCGTTCGTCTGGCGGCGGCGGCGGCCGATATTATGGGTCCCAAGGTTGGTACACTAACAATTACCAAACGAAACACAGATCAGGTCTACACATTTTTCTTTTTTATTATTTACACGTTGAATTGGAATCAATTTCTGTGTGAGGAAATTTATTCTGGTTTAAAGTTTGTTTTGTACACGTTTTTGTTTGTTTTCTACATGTTTTTCTGTGTGTGTGTGTGTTGGGGATGTTTTTATTGATTTTGGCGAATTTACAGGCGGAAATATGAATACTCAATCCGACAAAGCAGAAGAATCAAAACTGAACGACGGCGGCGTGAATTCTTCCAACCAGTCGTCGAGTGGCAGCTCGAAGCCGCCCGCCTCCGTCAGCCAGCCGAACGACAAACCAGACGTGAAAGAAGAAAACTGTGCTAAAGACTAATTCGTTCGTTTCTATTATTCTCTAAGTACTAAACTATGTGTTTGTAAATTCAATATTATTTTATTTAACTTAATTTATTCACTGCGGCGCACGCGTGCGCTTGGTATTCATTCTGCGAATTCTACGATTGCACGATTGCGAGGACAGGTCGTTGCACTTGTACATACATGTTTCGAAAAAATGTCAAGCCATCATCCGGACTGCCTCCAATCGCACATTGATACACACAAAAGAGTATATTATAAACAAGCAAACAAAAAAAATGATATTAATTGTGATATGAAAATGCAAAATTTATCGATTCGGACGAATGAGGTCTCTTCTCATCTCTACACTACATAAAATTTATTGATTATTTGAGCTGTCTTTGTTATATTTTGTATTACACATAACACACATAACATACACATGCATACAAACGATTACTCGACGCGCAAGTATTAGTGCTGAAAGAAGACGATTACAAACTAAGTACCGCATAATTGAAACTTTAAACAAAGATGTAAAACCGTAAGACGTTTAGCGATTTATTAGTGGAATTATAGTAAAACATGCATAGATGTAAGACATAGCGGAGGTGAAAGATTGCAGATGGAAGCAAGCAAGCTATATAACAACTTAGGTTTTTTCGCTAAACGAGATATAATGTTAGTTTTTATGTTGTTCTGTCCCGGACGCTAACAATACCGAATTCGATATGTATTTTGCCGTATTTCTCACATTTTGTAGCGCAATATTAATTCGTAGTCCTTGTATTTTAATTAGTGTAACGTCGGCTGAAAGATGATGATTGCAGGAGAGGAAGGACGAGCGCAGGGTGTATGCGCGTTCCTACTGGATGTGAAAATGCCTTTTAGAGATTTTTTACAACACAACAATCCGTGAAACAATCGAATGGTGGTGTGGTTCGCGTACACCCTCTCATTGCTGTATTGTCACTTGGATCATTCGTTCCCATTTTTAAATATAACGTACACTTATGCCCCTCCCAACGAGGTCTCTCATTCTACATTTGCATCAACAAGTTTAACTTGCTGTTCGACACACGATTTCGTCATCAGATATTTGTTGCTATCGAAAAAATATACGAGACATTTATAACAACTGGAGACGTGCGTTTTATCTGTAGAAATTTGTGTGAAATTTCAAATTATTACATGAATAATGTTGCAGATCATCGAAACTTGTGTTCCATAAGCTAGGGATGTCAAAAAGGGTTTTAGAAGATAAAATATCCATGAATATGTATATGATTGGCATAAAATGACAACTTGACCAATCAGAAGCCGCGAACTGTCAACTGTGCTATGATCACGTGGTCACATCAACCGTTGTCAGTTATAACTGCAATTTTCAATTCGAAACAAGCAAATTAAGGTTATTCCAGTAGAATCCGCCATGCAGAGACCACAACGGTGAGTTTAACCTTTAATTTAAGTATTCCAAGCATTTAAGCAATCGTATTGAGATAAAACACACGTTAAATACATGTGTGCTGTCAATCGAGCAAAGGTCACGTGGTCACATCAGGCGATGTCAGTTCTAACTGTAATTTTAATTCGAAACATGCAAATTTAGGTTATAATAGTACTAACCGCAATACAGTAACCACAACGGTGAGGTTAACCTTTAAATTTAATATTCCAAGCATTTAAACACATAAATTAAGATAAAACTCACGTTAAATATGTGTGCTGTCAACTGTGCGTAAATCACGTGACCACATCCATGACTATTGCGCCCAATCATGCGCAGACACTCCCAACGGCATCCTGCAATTCGAAACTAGCGCATTTAGGTTATACCCGTGCTACTAACCACCATGCCGTCCGTGTCCACATCGGTGAGTTGCATTTTATTAAATAAAACAAACGCCCTGAGATAAAATACACTTTTATTGTAATCATTCACGTGTCGCTACAGCAATCAAACGTATTATTATTAACAATAATGATTCCTCGCGTTGATAAACAAAGTACATCCACATAAGAAACGTGTGTTCTCGTCGTCCATCTTGTTGCAAATCGCGGAACGTGTGTGTGTGTTTAAATCGTACGTTTGCAGTCTTATTACGCCATGTTGGTTTCTCAATAAGGTCTATAGACTAACATATCAATTATTTTCTCTTTGGATTTAAGCTCTCGTTGCGCTAGCATTGCGTGTTTCAATCCAGGAATCCACTAAATATACAAATATAGAACTTTTTCCTCTCTCTCTCTCTCTCTTTGTGTCTGCGTTGAATAATATTTTCGGATTTATAATACATGCTTATATTGTAGGTACGTCTATTACCATCTGTCTAATTAATACATTCAGCACAATTAGATTACGATTAGTTTTACATGCGTGGTTGTTTTTTTTTCTTCTTCTTTCATTTCAAATTGGCGGCTGCGTTTTTTGAGCACAGCAGTGTTTTAAAGTCTTTTGCTTGATGGCGGTTCGCATGCAATATTATATACGACTGTGGGGGTGATGGCGGAACAGATAACATCACATTTAATGCACGTCTTTGACACATTTCGCATAATATTTATCAAAATTATAATACTTTTCCACGCGGGGGTGTATTTCGGACGTTTATCGATTATTTAAATGGTGTGCAACAGAATTCTCCCCCTCCCCTCCTCCACCGCAACTTCAAATCCGCCATTTTCTCTTAATCGCTAATGTCATGCTTCAAATTGGTCACAAATAAAACTCAATTGTTTCTGCGCACACGCCTGCTGACGTCATTCAAATCAAAGCAAAAACCACACTTAATCATTGATGGAATAAATTTCAATTGTAAAATAATACTGACGCAGTCATGTGTGCGGCGAGATATCTAACAAATGCACTTGTAATGAATATATATATATCGAGACGCCATCTTGGTTTTAACCTAGTAACATGTTTTTTGCTTAAAATTACGTCTAAGATTAAAACAGTAATCACATTTTGTTCACATTTTTACACGTCTACCCTTACCTTACATCGCGCGATACGGCCCTTGCATTTTTAAATACTGTATGACCAACGACGGCCCGCCGGAGACAATCTCGGCCGGGATTTGCGACAGCGGACAATTCTCGATGCTCATAATCGCCAGATTCGAACAGAGCGCTAATTCAAATGGTAGATTATGCAGCGCCTGATTATCGTTGATGTACAGGCTTTCCAAATTCTCCAACGTGCCGATTTCCTCCGGTAGAAAGCTGATATTATTCTCGCCGACGCTCAAATACTGCAGATTTGACAGATGACCGATTGCCCTTGGCAGAGATGTCAATTGATTTGACTGCACGACTAACCTCTGCAGCTCACGCAATAACCCCACTTCATTCGGCAACTGCTCCAGACGATTCTCCTCCAAATCCAGAACACGTAATTTGCGAAGATTACCAACACTAGGCGGAATACGCCGTAGGAGATTATTCGAAAGTGTTAACACTTCCAAACATTGCAGGCACTGTATATCATCGGGTAACTTCGTGAGTTGATTCGTGCCTAGATTCAACTCGACCATATTCAGCCATGTGCCGACATCTAGCGGCAGAGATGTCAACTGATTCTCTTTCATATTAAGTTTGGTTAGGTTCTTCGCCCTTGAAAATATCCCATAGGGTATTTTATCGATCTGATTGTGTTCCAGATTAATCGAATCGACATTCGTGAACTGCGACGGCCCGCCCGACGGATACGAAGAGAAATTATTCCGTGATAATGTAATACTTCTCAACTCAACCAAACTGGATAATAAACCTTCGGGTAACTGACAGATGGCGTTACCTTCGACATTAAAGTCATCCATGTGATTGCAGTTACTTAAACTCGCCGGAATACTCGATAAACGATTGTAACGTAAACCCAATCGCGTTAATTGTTGCAGTTGTCCTATCGTTTCGGGAATATCCAACAGCTCATTATGCTGCAGGTCCAAGGTGGATAAATTCGTGCAGTTGCCGAGTTCAGTTGGTAAATGCTCGAGGTGATTGTGTGACACATCGAATGTGATTAAATTGATCAATCGCCCGATCTCGGCTGGTAATTCACGTATTTTATTCTCGCGTAGACTGAGCATTGTCAACGAGGTCAAGTGCTGGATCTCTTCGCCGACATATTTGATGCGATTGAAGCGCAGGAAGAGTGTTGTGAGGGTTGTCAACTTGTAGACAACATCCGGTATATCGTTGAGTTTATTATGCCTCAAATCCAATACTTTAATCGATTTCAAACCGTCGAGCGAGTCCGGTAGACTCGTGAGTGAATTCTCGCTCAATGCGAGCGTCTGGAGGCTTGTGAGATTACCGATTTCATTCGGTAGCGTAGCGATTTTATTCCCGTACAAATACAATTCGGATAAATGCGTTAGATCGCGTACGGTCGCTGGCAATAGTGTGATATTAGACTTACTGAGGTCCAGTCGTTTGAAGCCTTCCTCACGACATCGTAGGAATTCCTTGGTTACGTCCAGATCCGCCTGGATGGGTTTGTTCTTCTTGACGGTCGGTTTTGGCTTGTTGCTCTCGGGGTGCTTGACGGTGACGACTTTCGGCCGGGCTGCGTCTGTCGCACCGCTGAGCGAACCGGACGAGAATTTCTTGGGTGTTTTGACGGGCGCGTCGCTTGTGGATGATTCGACTGGGGCGGCTTCGGGCATTTCGGACTCGAGCAGCGCTTGACTCATGACGATCTGGCGGAGCTTCGTGTCGAAAGCTTAGTTGTGGGGCATTCTAACAACGCCTTGAGTCATTGTCGAAACAATGGCGACGCCTAAAACAACCGGTTGCTATGTCACGCCGAGCGCGGAAGATAATCGAGCGCAATTTTTACTCACTTTGGATCACTTCGGGAGTCGGAGCAACGACGGCGACCTGGCTGGAGCTTTACTGCCTTCAATTTTCACTCACTCCTCGTTTCGTCGCGACGCAGACACACTTCTATACCACCCAATACGAGTGTATGCAATGAAAATGTCAAAAATAGTTACGAAACCAGCCAATAGTGGTCACTAACCACCGATATTAATTACTGTTTTTATCGTATAGCTAAATTTACATAGTTTATTCCGTGAATTTGCGTTTATTTATGCGTTTTTTAAACAATTTACGCTTTAAAACAATATTAGTACATTACAATTCCGCCAGGTGGCGCTGCGAGTCTTAAATGAAGCATTTACTCGCTCTGCATTACCGACACCGCACTCGCTCCGTGCTCGGCGAGTTTCAGTTCGACATTTTTGTTGGCCGCAAACGGGAGTGGTGCCTGCCGCCGTGTCGTGACATGGGCGATCGCCGCCGTCTGAATTTTTTTCTATTAAACCTCGCGTGCCTCGAACGTTGTTGTTGCTGAAACTAGGTGGTGAGTGCGCGGCTTCCATGGTGGTGTGCAGTGTGTGTGTCTACAGCGCGTGAAGCCGGAGTGTTTCTGCACCCAGCGCAAGTATAATCTATCCGTGCGTGCGTGTGTGTGTTGGTGTTGTGTGCGGCGGCGACAATGTTTCGCTGCATTCCGATCTTCAAGGGGTGCAATAGACAGATCGAGTATGTCGACAAGCGGCACAGCTCGCTGCCGACGGTGCCCGAGGACATCCTGCGGTATGCGCGCAGCTTGGAGGAGCTGCTACTCGACGCGAATCATATTCGCGACCTGCCGAAGGTAACCGACGTGAGATCATACCTGTTTTCTGATGGTTTTTCTGTGATAACTCAAAAACGCAACAAGTTATCAACGTGATTCTTTCACAAATCGATTTGAAGTTAAATTACGCATAAACGGTGTAATTTTTATTACAATATGATTATTAGTTTGAAATTTATAAGCATTTTAGTAAAAAACACTATTTTGTTAATAATTATTTATTGAAAATAATTAGCAATGATGTGTTTGTATAATTAAATAAAGAATTTAATGAAGGTTGGTTTAGTGAAAGAATTTTTATGATAACTTGCAGCGTTTTAAAGTTATGCTGACTTTATTAATAAACCGGCGTGCGATCGCCATTTGTTTCTGGTTTGTGTCAATTTGTTTGCATTTGTTTCGTCTGACGTCACGTTTTGTTTCATTCCAGAACTTTTTCCGCCTGCAGCGTCTGCGGAAGCTCGGCCTGAGCGACAATGAGATTCACAAGCTGCCATCGGATATACAAAACTTCGAGAACCTCGTCGAGTTGGACGTCTCGCGCAATGGTAAGCCTTGTTTATCGGCGAGAGCATACTTGTTATCGATAACGTGATAAGTGCGGAATGTAAAGTGCACGTGATTCATCATGGCGGCGGGCAGGGGCGGGGCATGCGCGTAAAACGAAAATTTAAGTACAATTTACTCGAGGGCCGGAAGGAAGTAAGCTTGGGTGATTATTACACGCACGTAGTGAGTGTGTGTGTGTGTTAAAAATGTAATGGAGAATGCAACAAGTGAGGGTTGTGGTGAATTTTTAATCGGACAAGTTGGTATAATTTATTTATGTTATTAATTGTGATGGAGATAGGAAAAACCAATTGATGCGCAATGATTTAATTGATCAATTAGTAAGCAGTGATTAATTCTCGGTCATTGATAAGTTATCTTTGTAGTAATGAAATCAGTTGTAAAAAGGGTTTAAATGTATGCGGCTAATTTAATTACTCTAATGAGATTGGCCTACATTTTGTTCGGCAATGGTATTTTTTTTTCACCCAGGGACATTGGGAATATGTTTTTGTAATTTCTTGTTTTCTACGCTAGGCATGTAATGAAAATTATGTGCTACGCACTGTTTTCCACCCTCGATATTAATTCTTCATTGAAAAACACTGTTTTCTGACCCTTGGTAGGTAATAAAAATTCATTGTTTTCCACCCTAGGCACATAATGTAGGATACTATTCATTATTCACAGTTTACTGTAGTGAAATATGATTTTCTACTCTTGATATGTAATGTGCTATTTTCGAATGTCTCTAGCCTTGCATCTTTATTTCATTCTAGCGATGTGATTGCGCTGATTGTGCATTCACGGCACGCTACACTTGAATAACAATGCTTATAAGGATGCCGTTTTATAATCATTTACGCAATGTTTATGTGACGCACAACTTCTATTACACTACATAGTAAGATGAGTAATTTTCGTGTTTAAAAAATAGGTTAATTGCAAAGTGAAATCATTCCCCAGATTTTTGTTTCTCTCTCGAAGCATTCAAGCGCGCTTGATGTAAAAAGGGTTTTGTCGGGTGCAACTCGTGCGTAGTGAACCTTTGCTACCCTTTCATTAACCACACAATAACTCTAAATACACCGAGTGTTGAAAAGGTTAAAATTGCGTGTTATTTTCTGCTGTTTTCGAGTGTTTTACAAGCACTTTTCGATGTTTTGAAGGGTTTTATACTGCGAAAACGCAAAAACATCACTCGAGGGATGATTATTGAGGGTTGTTGCGAATTAGGGTGGCACACGTGTTAAACGAAAGTCACTCATGCGGTCAAAACTTTCGTTTTATACCAGAAAAACCGGAAATTGTCTCGTATACACGTCAATTTCGATAGAAATTTAAACATTTTAAACATTTTTTTATATTTTATCGCGGATGATTCGACGTGAAAATTTGGTTTGTGTCTTTTAAATTGACAAAATGGCGGACGTTTGAAATTTAAAATCGGGTATTTGTAATTTTTACGAGAAATTTTGGAAAATTTCAAAATTTTGGGTGTTCTAGTGGTGGGATTTTAAAAATTTGAAAAGATTCGAAAAATATAGTTTATCGCGGATGAATTCACGTGAAAATTTGGTTTGTGGCTTTTAAATTAACAAAATGGCGGACGTTTTAAATTTAAAATCGTGTTTTTGTAATTTTTACAAGAAATTTTGAAAAATTCACTCATGCGGTCAAAACTTTCGTTTTATACCAGAAAAACCGGAAATTGTCACGTATACACGTCAATTTCGATAGAAATTTAAACATTTTTTACGTAATAAGGTGTGCGGTATGTGTATTACTCACTCCAGTGTCTAGTAAATGCCAAGGAGCGGATGTTTAGAAGTTGTAAACGAAATGATAGGGCGTGATTCGACAAAAATGGGAACAGATTGCTCGTCAAGCGGAAAATCGCTGTCATTATGCCCATAGGCTTATTTATTATGTCATAAAATAACACGACGGTAGTGTATTAACTCACGCAAATTAAAATCAATGCGCTGTTTTTCGTTTTACGTTTTTAGTTTTACATTTATGCGGTTTTATTTCCAGCCGAGTTGAATTAAGTTCAAGTTTAAGATGACTTTGACTTTAAGTGCACTTTGCGGAAGTTGCATAACCGCACCGGGCATGCATACACATTGCGAAAGCGTGCAGGCGTGCAAGGCGTGCAGACACGACTTAAGTCACATGCGCATGTGCATAGAAAGTCGATAACTGTGAATGCAACAAGTGCAACACGCAAGAGGACAGGTTAATTGGCAATTAGTTGGAATAGATTAGGGAAAAAATATAAGCTAAGATAGCGAGGAAATTTTGTGACCTTGAATGCGCATGAGCAATAAATACCATAGTCAATTATCATTATTATTAATATGCGTAATGGTGAGTTGGTGTATTAGTGTTTTATTGATTCGACTTATTGGCACTCGCCACTCGGACGGCTAACACAAACAATCGGACGTGTTTTGTGTTATCAAATTAAATTAAATTTCCAAAGTGTTGTGCTGCGCTGTGCTGAATTCTCAAATTAGAACAACGTCGCTGTGTGTGTGTGCTACTTTCTTTGCACAATAAAATCGCGAAATGGTTGGGCTTACGTTCTGCTCCCTTTTGCCAATATTCTATTTTTGTAATTATGGGCATGGAGAGGTGTATTATGTTTTATTTTGGTTTAGTTTATTGCTAAACAATTGCGATGGAGTTCAATGGCAGTTTATCAGGTTTAAAGAAAACGGATTGCGCTAAGCTGCTGCATTGTGCGTTGCATAAGTGTGGCTTCATTTTAATGCATCGCCGTTTTGGGTATTTATTTAGGTGCATGCCATAAACTCAAATGAAAGTAGGTCGATGATAACGTGATACACGTGATACTTGAATTAATTTATTGTTAATTGTGAAGTAGTAGTTGGTTGTTGATTGCAAATATTCAACGGGAGAAGCAATTTTCTCTTTCGTTTGCTTATTGTAAGAATATTTTATGATAATGGCCATAACTTGAATGGCAGAGGAATGCCTGGGCATACCATCTGTTGATTCTCAATCATGTATAGGAATTTGTTCAATTGTGAATGTGTTGATGGGTTTTTAAAGAGAAAAAGTCGTAGTCTACTTTATGTTAGAGTAATTTGCGATGTTTTTCCTTTCGCGAGCAAAATAGGGAAAAGAAAGGCTAGAAAAGAACTGCGACTGGACTCCTGGGCGACTTAGGCACGGCTGAGCGCGCTGCGCACAGCGCGCTTGCCTTTTATATCCGCGGATTACCCGCAAAAAGTGGTGGGGGTAAGAGTAGTAGCAGTAGTAGTCATCCCCTCCACTTTTTGCTGGTAATCTACGTCTATATCCGTTAGTTATCTAGCAGTTTTCTCTTCTTTCTTGAATTTTCAATTTCTACGCGTCCAAGATTAGTTTTTTGACTGAGCGCGGTGCGCACTGCGCGCTTGCCCTTTTTAACCCGCGGTTTACCCGCAAAAAGTGGTGGGGGTACGAGGAGTAGTAGTAGCAGTAGTAGTCATCCCCTCCACTTTCTGCAGGTAATCCACGCGTATCACCGTACGTTTTCTAAGGTTTTTCTTTTCTTTTTTAAAATTTTCAATTTCTGGGCGTCCAAGATTAGTTTTTTGAGTGATGTTCTGTTTGGATGATTTTTATCTGAAGTAAACTCAATCAAGGCGACGATAAAGTATACAAACGTCTAAAAATACCCTCGCGTGTACTACAAACACCGCCATGCCTGCCGCCCGAAATAAATCCATCATGAAATCGTTTCTATTTGTTCTCTACGCGATTTGTGATATACCGGATATTCCCGAGTCGATCGGCACGCTGCAGTCGCCGCGGCGGCCGACTTCAGCTCGAATCCAATCGCCTGCTCTCGGCTGGTCACGTTCAGCGAGCAAATACGTAACCGTGGAACGAAGTACAACAA